GGGAAGGCAGGATGTTGATAAACATGACCCAAAGGAAAATGGTGGAGGACAAGGGAGGATGTTGATAAATAGGATCGAAAGGAAAATGGTGGAGGGGAAGGGAGGATGTTGATAAATAGGATCGAAAGGAAAATGGTGGAGGGGAAGGCAGGATGTTGATAAATATGACCCAAAGGAAAATGGTGGAGGGGAAGGCAGGATGTTGATAAATATGACCCAAAGGAAAATGGTGGAGGACAAGGGAGGATGTTGATAAATAGGATCGAAAGGAAAATGGTGGAGGGGAAGGCAGGATGTTGATAAATATGACCCAAAGGAAAATGGTGGAGGGGAAGGCAGGATGTTGATAAATATGACCCAAAGGAAAATGGTGGAGGACAAGGGAGGATGTTGATAAATAGGATCGAAAGGAAAATGGTGGAGGGGAAGGCAGGATGTTGATAAATATGACCCAAAGGAAAATGGTGGAGGGGAAGGCAGGATGTTGATAAATATGACCCAAAGGAAAATGGTGGAGGGGAAGGCAGGCTGTTGATAAATATGATTCAAAGGAAAATGGTGGAGGGGAAGGCAGCATGTTGATAAATATGACCCAAAGGAAAATGGTGGAGAGGAAGGCAGGATGTTGATAAATATGACCCAAAGGAAAATGGTGTTGCAATGCAGGAAATTGTGTTGTTTGAGGGGGATGTTGTCAGTGATGAAATTGTATTTATTGGTTGTTTCTTTTGGTTTGTTTATGAAATGATGAGGAGGGAGTAATTAAGTTATTTCATTCCTTTATTTAATATACGTCAAAAACTTCAAATATCTACACTTACCTCACGGTGACTAAACTTTGCTTCACAATCACCCGAACTTTATAATGAACTAACTTCTACTTCAAAATAACTTTGTTTTACAACAACCTAGCTAACTTCACAATAGCCCAAGCGTACATTATCAAAACTTATCGTTATCATTATTGCTTCACCCTTACCGAGCAATTTTTTCACTGTTAACCTACACGCTTAACTAACTTTTTTTTTTAATATTAACTTACACCAACTTAATTAACTTTTCTTTACTATTAACCTAAACTTATTTAACTAACTTTTTTCTGCTATTAACCTGAATTCTTTTTTTTCTACTATCTTTTTTTTTTCCATTAACCTTACCTATCTTTTTTAACCACAAATTTAACTACCATTAACCTAATCTACCTCTTTTTTTGTTATCATATATTTTTTTTACTATTAACTATTAATTATTAAACTCTTCTTATTACTATCCACCTAAACTAACTTCTTTTAACCACAAATTAAACTATCATGAACCTATTCTAACATTTTTTGTTATTTATCATATCTTTAACTATTAACCTAAACTAACTTAACTAAACTTCTTCTTACTGTTAACCTAAACCAACTTTTATTTCACAACTACCAACTTAAACTAGCTTAAAACACCACAAACTTACTTGTCACACGCCAGGACTTAACTTAAACTAAACTTTTCTTCTTACTATCAACCTAAACCAACATTTATTTCACAATTACCAATTTAAACTAACTTAAAACACCACAAACTCACTTGACACACTTAAACTAAACTTTTCTTCTTACTATCAACCTAAATCAATATTCATTTCACAATTACCCACTTAAACTAGCTTAAAACACCACAAACTCACTTGACACACTTAAACCAAACTTTTCTTCTTACTTAGTTACTTACGTATTTATTTCACAATTACCAACTTAAACTAGCTTAAAACACCACAAACTTACTTGACACTTAAACTAAACTTTTCTTCTTACTTACTTACGTATTTATTTCACAATTACCAACATAAACTAGCTTAAAACACCACAAACTCACTCGACACACTTAAACTAAACTTTTCTTTTTACTTACTTACTTACTTACGTATTTATTTCACAATTACCAACTTAAACTAGCTTAAAACACCACAAACTTACTTGACACACTTAAACTAAACTTTTCTTCTTACTATCAACCTAAATCAATATTCATTTCACAGTTACCCCCTTAAACTAGCTTAAAACACCACAAACTTACTTGACACACCTAAACCAACATTTTTTTCACAATTACCAACTTAAACTAGCTTAAAACACCACAAACTTACTTGACACACCTAAACCAACATTTTTTTCACAATTACCAACTTAAACTAGCTTAAAACACCACAAACTTACTTGACACACGCCAGGACGCCGAAAGCAACAATAAGAGTAGCGAGGGAGACACTGTAACCCACGCATGACATTGTACGGACGACCGGAGCCCACTGCGAAAGAGAGGGGAGACGGGGGAGTAAATTGGAGGGCAAAAGGGAAGGGGAAAAAAAGAGGGGAGGGAAGGGAGGGAAAATGAGGAGGGTGGGGATGGAGAGGGAGGGGAGGGAGGGAAAAAGAGGAGGGTGGGGATGGAGAGGGAGGGGAGGGAAGGGAAAAAAGAGGAGGGTGGGGAGGGAGGAAAAAGAGGGGAAGGGAAGGGGGGAAAAAAATGAGGGTGTAAATAGAGGGCAAAAGGGAAGGGGGGAAAAGGGGGGAGGGAAAGGAGGGAAAAAGAGGAGGGTGGGGAGGGAGAGGGAGGAAAAAGAGGGGAAGAGAGGGGAGATGGGGGTGTAAATGGAGGGCAAAAGGGAAGGGGGGAGAAAGAGGAGGGTGGGGAAGGAGGGGGAGGGGAGGGTGTAAATTGGAGGGCAAAAGGGAAGGGGGGGGAAAAGAGGGGGAGGGAAGGGGGGGAAAGAGGAGGGTGGGGAGGGAGGGGGAAAAAGAGGAAGGTGTAAATTGGAGGGCAAAAGGGAAGGGGGAAATAAAGAAGGGAGGGAAGGGGGGGAAAAGAGGAGGGTAGGGAGGGAGGGGGAGGGGAGGGAAGGGGGAAAAGATGAGGGTGGGGAAAAAGAGGAGAGTGGGGAAAGAGGGGGAGAGGAGGGAGGGGAAGGAAGAGGGTGGGTGGGGAGTGGTTGGAGGGGAAGGAAAGGAGGTGGAATGGAGGTGGGGAATAGGTGGGGTAAGGATTAAGGGTAGGGAATAGTTGGGGGGGAGGAAGGGAAGTGGGGAATGGTTGGGGGAAGGAAAGAAGGAGGGAAATGGTTGGGGGGAAGGAGGAGGTAAGGAATGGTTGGAGGAGAGGGGAAGGAGGAGGAGGAGGGGAATGGTGAGGGGAATAGTTGGAGGGGAAGGTAAGGAGGAGGTAGGAAATGGAGGGGAAGGAAGGAGGGTAGGAAATGGAGGGGGGAAAGATAGGAAATGAATAGAGAGCGAAGGGAAGGGGGAAGGGAGGGAGGGGTAGGGAGGGAATAGAAGGAGGGAGGAAATGATGGGAATGGAGGGAGGGAAGAGAAGGAAGAAAGGGGAGAATGGAGCGAAGAAGAGGGAGGAAGAAGGAAGGAAGAAAGTAGGGAATGGAGGAGAGATAAAGATAGTAAAGAAGAAGGTAAATAATGGAGAGGAGAGGGGGATGGGAAAACGAAAGGAAGGGAGGGAAAGAAATGAGAAAAAAATGGAAAGGAATTGAGAAATAGCGGATGGATGGAAAAGAGAGAGAGAGAGAGAGAGAGAGAGAGAGAGAGAGAGAGAGAGAGAGAGAGAGAGAGAGAGAGAGAGAGAGAGAGAGGAGAGAGAGAGAGAGAGAGAGAGATGGACAAGAAGAATTAAGGGAGAGAAAACATATAGTACAAATGAAACACAACAAAATCGTTACAGACTATATTTATTCTGATAAACTATACGATTGCGCTGACAAGGCCACGTAAATAATGCTATACAATTTTATATCAGTTTTATCTTCATGACTTGCCTTCAAAATATTTTTTTAAAAATTCTCTTGACTGACATGAACTTAATAAACTGTCGAGATATCTTTTTTTCTTTCTTTCTTTCTTTCTTTTTCTTTCTTGTTCTCATTATCTTTGCAAACTTTATTGACGGAGACTTCAGTATATTGTAGTTTTTACATCCTATTACTGTTGTTCAATAAGGATTATATCACGTCATATTCTGAGGTTCTTTTGTGCGAAAAGGCAATTTATTTCTCTACTGTATTTTAACGTCTCGATTTTTCTCTTTCTGTCTATCAATCTGTCTGTGTGCGCGTGAGTGTGTGTTTGTACTGTCTATTTATTTATCTATCTATTTATCTGTGTGTCTGTTTGTTTATTTGTTTGTCTACTTGTATATCTGTCTGTTGGTGTATCTGTCTAGATTTTAGTCTTCTTGTCTGTATATATATATATATATATATATATATATATATATATATATATATATATATATATATATATATATAATATATATATATATATATATATATATATATATATATATATATATATATATATATATATATATATATATATATATATGTACATTATAATATTCATATATATATGTATATATGGATATATATATATATATATATATATATATATATATATATATATATATATATATATAATCTCTTTCCTTCTCCCTCCCAACATACACACACACACACATACTCATTTCCTTTTACTGTACCCTCGCCTCCCACCTCTTATATAAAAAACACCCGCCAGATTGCCAGACTGAAAGGTTCCGAACCTAAGGCTTCACTCACTCACTATGAAAACAATCTCAAATGCATGTTTTTCCAAAGCCCCATTTTTGCCGAAGTCATAATAAAGTCAGTAAACACGTGACAAAAAAAGAAGAAAAAAATACGTTAAAAAAAGAAGAAAGAGGGAGGAAGAGGGAGAGGGAGAAGGGAAGAGGGAGAGGGAGAGAGAGAGGGGGAGAGGGAGAGGGAGGGAGAGAGAGAGAGAAAGAAAGAGAGAGAGAGAAAGACAGTTAGAGAGAGAGAGAGAGAGTTAGAAAGAAAGAGAGAGAGTTAGAGAGAAAGAGAGAGATAAAGAAACAAGGAGAGAAAGATAAAAAAAAAGAGTGAAAGAGGAAAGAAAGAGAGTAAAAAAAAAAGAAAAATGACACAATTGATAGTCTATTCGTAAGTTG